TTTCAAGTTCAAAGAGATGTTTTGAAGATTCCCCCTCCCCCCATTCAATTAATTAAAGACATGCAAATCAATGAAACTCATCCCCTCCCCATCCACTCTTTACCCTACCACTTGCATATTTTTATATTTAAATAAGTTTCTTTCATTGCTATATGTGTATAAGTATATGGCAAATCGAACACTCAATTACACACAAATATTTAAGTAACTAATTCATTCGTTGAAAAATGAAGTTTAATAATAGGAATTCAAAATTTCTCGAGTTTTTTATCACAACCTTTCAGATGAAATTTCATTCTCTCAAAATTTAGACTCCTTTAGATTTTTCTCTTTCACAAGTCGCTTATCTTGAACACACTCGCTCTCAATTCTCATTAATTATGTAACATTACTCATAAAATTATCTTGTACCATCCAATATTCAATTTTCACAATCCGCTTTATTTCAAAACCTTTCGCATGAATATTAACAATATTTAAGTTGTCTTCTCCACAACAATCGAGTCAATAGTCTGGATCCCGAATGAGGAAAGAACCTGGTATTCTAGCTTACATTCTAGAAACACAACTCCCAAATCGTGAAGTAACTATTAATCTTGACATGTCAAAAGAGTTACCACAGGCACAGAGGGATGGAAAAAACATCGAAATTGGAGGAGTTAACGGAGGAGTAGAAGTCGAAGATGATGATGAAGAGCTCATATCCTCGCCGAAAAATTTATCGGGCTCATTGGAGGTGCGAGAATCTGGAAAACGAAAGAAAAATGAGAATTTAGGTATTGAAAGAAGGAGAAATTTGAAATCTGAGGTTTTCTGAGGAGAAATTAAAAGGAAAATTACGCATGCATAATTAATACACGAATAGTGGACTTACTCATCGACATAATTTCTCGGTTGATCGAAAAGTTGTGGAAAGTGGTGATTGAGGGCAACAACGACAATAAAGACTTTGAATTTTGCAAAAAAGCAGGAGTTGTATTCTAGATAGATTTTGCGCAAGGGTAGAAAACCTGATAAAATCGGCTAAGGGTCCCTTTTATAGGTGAAGGAAGATTGAACGTTGGGGTGTGATCGACCCCAACTGTTGGATCATAGTCGCATTTAACGTCAAAAGATCAAAAGTAGTAGTTGAAAAGACATGTCGAATGTGATTGTCAGATTAAAAAAAAATCAGATGGACGATATTAGCGAGATATTTAATGGGCGCACTACACGAGGACAACACAAACTGCGAAGTGACAATGCAGACACAACGCTTGGGTTGATCTGATTGGACATGTGGCAGAGATCTGAAATTCAAATTTTGAATATGGAACCTTAGCTAGAGGTCGAATATACTCACAGACATAAAGGGAAAGTACGTGGTATGGTCGATGAAGCGAGACATGAGCTAACCAACAAGGATCAAAGAAATTCGAATTCACTCTTAGATCAAGTTACCTTAACTCGACAAGAGTGTGGGGTCTAGATGATATGGGACACCATGTCGGGTCAACTTAACACGAGAAACAACCACACTGAACTGAGTGAACTGATAGGTCAAACGGATATTGAAAAAAACTACAGATTGAAGAGTCTTAGGTCGGTGAGGACGTCCCAGGACCAAGAAAACACCGGCAGGTTCGAGTTAGGGCCCTCAGATGGCCTGATTGAAACTCGACCTGAGAGCACAATGGATCGACCAGATGAGCATGTATACGAGCTTAACACATAAATCACTCCATCTCGAGGCACATCGGGTTGGTCGCACAATTAGACCTTCTAATGAGGCAGATTAACAAATAAGAAGAAATATTGTTATGACAATAACCACACGTGTATAGGACCATGTGGCCTAACAGAATTGGGCAGTAAAAACAGCGTATCTGGGCAGTCTTGAGCAACATAGTAACACATCCTTAGATAAAGAAGTGATGTATGTCCATTCATACATTACATCTATGTATACTTACAAAACTTTATATACACTACTCATCGTCTTCTTCATCTGTGAACTGACTTGATCGTCAGAGTGCTAATGCCGGGAACTCCTCCCGACCTATTTTGCAGGTCTACGAACATGTTAGAGAGCGGATCTGGTCATCTGAGCTAGACAAATGTCTATTACACACCATGCCTCATTACCCTCCACCGCTACCGCTAGCTTGAAGTGAAATGTTGATTTCTTTGAAAGTATTTCATTGCTTTAACTAACATCTTGTAAAACCAAATATTGAGTTTAATAATAATAATAATAATAATAATAATAATAATAATAATAATAATAATAATAATAATAATAATAATAATAATAATAATAATAATAATAAATCAACTTGGCCATGAGGCCAATAATAATAATAATACCAGTTTTGACCCTGAAGCCTGCGAACCTGTTGTGGATCTGTTCATACTTCACAGAGAAGATGGAGGGAAGGGGGGTTTTGGGGGACCTAAATGGAAAGTAGGTATGTGCAGGTAGAATATGGAGAAATTTACTAATAAAAAATAAATAAAACCAAACAAATAACTAATTTAACAAGCATTATATCTAATCACAAGAAAACTAAACAAACAAGATAATCAGACAGACTTAATATGGTAGATCTAGAGGGAAGCCCAATCTGCATAGTACGAAAACCATTCACAATGTGCAACCAAACAAACCTAAAATATTGGTAAAATAATTTGATAAGCCATATGAAAATTTGTTTAAATAAACTTATAAATTATGCTCAAACTTTATAAAAAAGTTAACCATATCAAACCATTCGAATACAATAAACATATACCGATTAATTGAAGGCTTGATCCGATTGTATCCATTGTCCATACTTCATAGAACAACGGCTAACAAATCAATTCTCTAACATATTAAAAACAAGTGCAATTGGAAATGACTTTTGTGTTTCGCCGGATAATTATTTGGGACGGAACGACAATTGATATAAATTTTTAACTCAAAAATCAATTCCCATCTAATCCAACTTAACCCTTTTCAATATTATCAATGTATCTAAATAATAAAACCAATCATTATTATAAAATTTTAACAAAATACTATTCATTCGCTCATATATTTTTTTACTAACAATCATTTATAATCATTATTTTAATACTTTCGAATCATATCAATTTTAATAACTACATTTTAGTTCATATCCTTCATAAGATAAAATCAAATCTATAGTTATACCAGTCAATTTTTTCTATATTAATTCACCTTATTATCAAATCAAATACCAAAAAACTTAAAAAAAAAATCATTTCTAATATTATGCTTTAAAATAAAATAAACAATTAAAAAACAAAAATTCAACTATCTAAATCTAGAAAACAATTATCATACATCCAAATTCAACTCAGCTCCCAGAACCCTCTCACCCAAACAAGAAAAAAATCCCAAATCAAAACCCCTCTCTTCCTCTTTAGTTTTGGGTTCCCGCCGTCATGCGCTCTGCCTTACCGCGGAGATGATTAGCATAGGGGCAGACCTCGGTTTCATGGTCGTGACACGGTCTAATTTATTTGTCACGATGCTTCTGTTCTCGTCAAGTGGCTTCGGCGAGATTTTCGACGACTCGACAGAGGAATCAGGGTGGATGTCGTTGTTCGCCTCTTTTGGGACTACCGAGGCTTGTGTCCGCACCTACTTGACGGAGACGTTATTGAGTTGGCATCTTTATGCAAGAATGATTGTTTGGCATCATTGGTTTAATCAATTTAGTTATTTTATTACAGATTTAGTAGGAAAGATATTTAATTACAGAAAATATATTTATTTAGTCTTTTATTTGGTGGAGAAGTTATTTAATTAGAAATTTCTTAGGAGTCTTAAGTTTAAGTAGGTTTCTTAATAGTTCTATTTAAAACCCTCGTTGTATTGTTTGGAGGAGGGG